TCAATAATTTTAAAAAAACAACTATAGGAGAAGGAGACAAACACACTAATAAGAGTGGATGTTTAAACAACACTCTTAGTACAAAACTGCTTAGGCTGATAAGTAAAGATACAAATGACATAAACAATATAGTGAATAAGGTAGAGCTTTTGAACTTTTGTTGCATTTTACATTCTGAAAATAAGACTATATTTTTCTCAAGCAAACATGGAAGACTGACAAAAACGATCCACTTTTAAGTCTCAAAGCATCACTGCATTCCAAAGAGTAAATTACTATAAACAATATCATAATAATATTGTGATAATTCTTGGCATTAATAAAAACAATATTTAAAGGCCCTTCCACATAAAAATTTAAGAATTTCCTATTGAACTACTTTTCTGGTGAAAGAAAAATACAATCTTTCCAAAAGAATAAAGAGAGCGAAAACATTATATACCAAAATCAATTAGATGTCACAGAAAACAATAAGCAGAGGAGAATTCATGGCCTTAAACTCTTATGAAACGACACCCAATTGGAGAACTAAAAAAGATGACAAAGGTAAAATTAAAAGAGTACATATGAAGACATAATAAAGGAAAAATCAGAAATTAATAATTAGAAAAAAAAATCTCAATAAATCAAAATTGAACTTTGTTAAAAATTAACAAAAGGGACTACTACTGGCCACCTTTACCAGGATAGAAAAAGGAAGAAAGCAAAATAAAATTTAGAATACCTAGAAAGAAACAATCATTGAGGTAGAAAAAATTTAAGTCATAAGAAACTACGATGCAGACTACCATGCAAATAAATATGAAAAAATAGATAACATGTAAAACAACTACAACAGATACTCAAATAGAAATACAGAACTTAAACCACCAATTTCTATAGAAAAAAGTAGAGAATTACAAGTAACTACCTCATAGAAAAGCAAAATAATCAAATGGTTTCACATTTAAAGACCAGATGGTTCCAATGTAACAGAAGTAGTTCTAAAACACAGAAAATAAACCTCTAAATTATTTTTATGAATGAAATATGTTGGTACCAAAATATGATAAAGACAGAACAAAATTAGAAAACTATGGATCAATATCACATGAATATCAATATGAAATCACTTCATAAAATATTAGTCAACTTCAACACTGTACTAATATTATGTCATAACAAATTGAGATTTATACCTTAAAAATAAGGTTGGTTCAATATTAGAAGTACAGCAATATATTATACCACATTAAAAGATTTGAGACAAATATATGATTATTTCTATTTAGGCTAAACAAAGACTCTGAAAAAATTCAATACTGATTCAATAAAAATAAAAAATATTCAAAAACATAGAAGTTGACAGATACTTTCTTGACTTGATAAACAGATACACACACACTCATATTCACACATATATTCACACACTATACACAAACCTTAGTCCTAAAGCCATCATCACATTTAACGGGGTAATACTTCAGGCATTTCCAATAAGATTAGGAAGAGTAAAAGATGATTACCACCTTTCTTACTATTTAATACTGTACTGGATGTACTAGACAAGGCAATTAAACAAGACAAATCAAATACAAAAACTGTTAAGAAAAACTACTGTATCTACTTGTATATGACAGTTTTCTAAGAAAACTCTAAGGAACCATTACAAAAACTACTCCAAACCAGAAAATAATTCCGTAAATTAACAGGATGTAAAATTAATGCATGGAAATAAAAATTTTAATACATATAAACAAAAATCATAAGAAATAATAAATCCACATTGACAACATTAACAAAAGGTATAATATTTAGAAATAAGTGTAATAAGAAATATGCAAAACTAGTAAGAAGAAAGCTTTAAAATAATCCTAAGGAAGGATCTAATGCAAAATTAACTAAAAACAAAAACATTCCTTGTTATATGAACATCTATACATCATAAAGATATCAGGTCTTCCCCAAATTAATTTTAAAACTTAACACAATTTCAATGAAAATGCCAGCAAGTATTACTCTTATGAGAAACTAGAAAAATAATATAGAAAAATACTGTATAAATTCCTAGTATAACACTGAAAAAGAACAACTATGGGGAACTACTAGTCCAACCTGATGTTAAAATATATTTTATAAAGCTTCAGAAATTAACACATCAGTATTTATGCCTCGTATTGTTATATAAATAGACAAATCAGTGGGATTCAACAAAGTACAGAAATAAAACCAAATACATGAGGAAATGGAATATATGACAAAAGCAGCAACAAATATTACTGAAGTAAAGCCATATTTTAAAATAGTGTTAGAACAACTGGAAAACCACTTTTAATAAACTCTAATGAATAAAAGACCTTTAAGTTTAAAAAATGAAACCAGGTAGAGCAAATGAAATATCACACATTGCTGATGGGAATGTATAATGGTACAATCAGTCCAGAAACTAACTTGGCAGTTTCCAAGTTAAACATACACTTTCATATGACCCAGAAATTCCACTCCTATTTACTCAAAAGAAAGTGAAACATATGTCTCCACAAAGCCTGTATGTGAATGCTTAGCTTATAGCAGCTTTATTTATAATTGTCAAAAACTGAAAACAACCCAGAGAGCCATCAACAGGTGAACATAAATTGTAGTTTTCAATAAAATATTACTCAGCAATAAAAAGGAATGAACTACTAACGACCTACAAAGATAAATCTCAAAAGCATTATGTTAAGTGAAGGAAGACAGACACAAAACAGTACATACCTTACAATTCCATTTATATACCATTCTTGAAAATGCACAAATATAGGGACGGAAATCATTTTAGGGGCTGGTAGCAATGCCAGGAAAAGGGGACTGACTCTAAAGGGGAATGAGAGAACTTTTGGAAAGAAATGTTCTACATCTTGGCAGCAGTAGTGGTTACATGATACATACATCTGTCAAAACATATCAAACTGTACATTTAAAAAGGTAACATTTACTGTTTGTAAATTATATCTCAAAAGACTTAACCTTTAAAAAGTATGCAGATATTGCCAAATTTCCCATCCACTAACTTTATTTTCCTAGATCTATTTAATTTACATTCCCAAGGGGATTCTAAAAGTGCTGATACCTTTATCCGCCTCAATATTATCAGACTATTATTTTAGTCCTCTTCAATTTGACACATACTTTAAAAAGGGTGCCTCGATGTTTTGGTATCCTTATCTTTTCATTTTTAGCAAAGGTGGCCTTTTTTCCTGTTTCTAGGACAGTCATATTCCTTCTCTGTTCTGTTTTTTCATTCCTTTCCATCATTGCTTTGAAAACATATTTGGTGTTTTCCTTGTTAACTTTTTTTAGTAGTGGCTAGATATTCTCAAATATTTGTCATAAATCTATTTCCCAGTTTCTCATTCATCTTTCATTTTGAAGAATTTTTAAATATACAGACATCTTAAAATTTTAAAGCTGTCAATATTTTCAGTTGAGATTTTTGTTCTCTTGTATTTTTATTTAGAATTTAACCCATGCAGAGATCAAATATTCGATTACATTTTTTTCTAATTTTTTATAGACTCAATCATTTAACTCCTTAAACATGATAATACAGTAGTCAACTGGTTATACTGTTATTTAAATTTAAGTTAAATTAAAAATTCAGTTTCTCAATATTTTTAATATTTAAAAATATCTGCTTTTTTAAACAGACTATATTTTTAGAGAAGTTTTAGGTTTGATTAGGTAAATTTAGAGCAATATAGATAAAACTGAGTGGAAAATACAATAAGTTCCCATCCTCTCCACTATCAACATCCTTCACTAGACTGGCACATTTTTTAAAGTGGATGAACCTACAATGACACATCATTATCATCCAAAACCCACCGTTTACATTACGTTCACTCTTGGTCTTGTCCATTCTGCAGATCTTAACAACCAAATGATGACATGTATCTACCATTACAGTATCATGCAGAATAGTTTCACTGCCCTAAAAATCTACCATGCCTCACTCATTCATCCTTCCTCTCCCTTCTAACTTATGGAGATAGTAAAAAATTGATATTTTTACTGTCTCCATGGTTTTTTCCTTTTCCAGAATGTCATATACAGTAGTTGAAATTATATAGTATTTAGCATTTTCAGATTGGCTTCTTTCACATAGTTAAATACATTTAAGTTTCTTCCATGTTTTCTCTTGGCTCAAAAGTTCATTTCTATTTAGCAATGAATAATATTCCATTAACTGGATGTATCAGTTTATCCATTCACCTACTCAAGGACATCTTGGTTACTTCAATGTTTTGCTGAGTATAAATAAATCTACTATATGGTATTCATGTTCAGGTTTTCGGGTGGATGCAAGTTTTCAACTCATTTGGGTAAACACTAAGGAGCACAATTGCTGCTTGATCTGTTAAGAGTGTCTAGCTTTCTGAAAAACTGCCAAACTGTCTTCCAAAGTGGCTGTGTCATTTTGCATTCCCATGAGCAAGAAATCAGAGTTTCTGTTACTCCATATACTCATCAGCAGTTGGTAATGTACTGACCATGTTTCAAATATTTAGCAACATATTGCCAATGGCTACCATATTGGAGAGTCAAACAGAATATTTTCATCATTACACAAAGTTTTAATGGAAAAGCTTCTCTGCTTAAAATTTAATTGGTTATAGAGTAGGAAATGATAAACTAATATGACAGCTTTTTTTAACCTCTGCATAAATCCAACTCTACTCCCACTGGATTTTGGGGTTCTTTGTTTATCTATATTTGCTCACAAATTCAAATTCCTGCTCAGCCACTTCTTAACTATGTGCCCATTAACATATTATTTAACCCCTCTGACTCCCAGTTTCTCATCCTAATTACTCATTAGTTTGGTACAAAGATTAAATTAGATAAGCAGGTAAGATAAATTACAACATTCATCATGTTATGCCCTCATTTGTAAATTCTTCTGGGTTAAGAGTTTGTTTTCTGAATGTTTCAGTTTCATACTTTAAAGATCTTTACTAAAAGCAAAAGTATGTATTTACCTGATCTGGATTTTTGTAACCCAAAAGTAGATTTGCTGCTTTTATATCACCATGAACATACTCATTTTCATGTATATATTCCAGTACATCCAACTGTGAAAATAAATAGATAAAATAAGGTTATACTGCTATCTATTTAGAACTCATGATCAATTTCAGCATTTTGAATACAGAATAACATGGTTTTTTTCATATTAACAATGACAAAGTGATGTATTTCACAATTTAATGGTCAATTATTCTAAAATATCACATCTTCTGGTTGCTCATCCTGGAAAAAAAGTTGAATAAAATGATCCTCAAAAATCAAGTGTTTTAGTTGAAGTTCCAATGGAAGAAAATTAGGATTCAAAAATGCTTATGCCTAATTCCTGATGGCCCAGTAGCCAAACTGCACTGCACAAACAGGAAAAACACAGCATAAAATCAGAGATCTACAGTGAAACAATCTTGAAGCCCACTCAGCAATTCCTCACCTAAACAATAATTTTAAATCAAGTCTTAAGAATCTTAGAACAAAATGCCATGTCCATAAGCAAAGGGAAAGGTATTCTTCCTCTATATAGTAATAGAAAACTCCTTAGCTTCATCTCTAAAGCCCTTCAGCCTTTATGTTACATATACTTTGTACTCAATAAACATTTGCTGGCTTAGAGGATGGATAAATGAGAAAATTAATGCATTCCATTTGCTGCATCCCAATCTGGCATAAGCAGCTTCATGCTACTGAAAGTGAAAAAATGAGACTTAAAACAACACAAATACAAATATCACAATACAAATATGTAGCATAAACAAATGTATGCCTGGGTGCTATGAAGAGTTCCTTGCTTCTGATTTGGTAAAGTATATTTTATTCATTGCCACAACTAATTATTGCCACCATCCCAAATTCATAATAAAAACTTTATAGCACCCCATACCATCTCATGTTTAAAATGGCTAACAATACATTTTGCCATAACTTGCATTGTTATAACTGATGAAAGAAAGGTTATTCTTAATGGCAATGAAAACTTGTCGTGGTATGCAAAAGAAAGCTGTGAGGAAAAAGATCAGACTGGAGAACCAAAACCTGATTGAGTTTGCAGTGCCAGACACAGCACAGCACATTCTGTCACTTACAGAGCCCACGGTTATCAATTTCACCAAAACAGTCTCTACTCCTAACTGATGTCTCTAGGGCAATAATCCCTCATTCTCTAATAGCAAAAGGAAAAGATTTCTATACTGTAAGAAGTAAATAATTTGGAAACAGATCATGCGAAATAAGTAATTCTTTCTTACCATTCGGATACCTAATTGCAGGACAGTTGACTTTTTAAAGGTACCATTCTGGTCTGAGATCTTCTGTAAATCTATTCCTAGTCTTTCCATTACCATAAATCTGTAACTATAAGAAAGAAGCATCAAAAAAAGATCATCCTGAGAAAGTAATGCTTGAAATTGTCTATTTAATTTGAAACAAGAAAAATTATGCCCAACCTAACAACCAGGTATGATACAATCTAAACCATTAGAGAATGAATGCACGTTCATAATTCTGCTATTCCTTTGCAGAAACTGCTCAGTATTATTAACTTTGCAGCTGGTTTTCTAGAAGAGAATGCTGTACTGAACCATTCACACTATATTTACATATAAAAAACTCTTTCTAAATTAGACAGTACTTAATTCAATTTATTTTGACTCCATGACTTCTTGCAATGTGGTCCTGAAAAAATTTTTGTCCACACATAAATTTTTTTGTTTTTGTTTTAGATGGAGTCTCGCTCTGCTGCCAGGCTGGAGTGCAGTGGCACAATCTCGGCTCACTGCACCTCCTGCCTCCCGGATTCAAGCACTTCTCCTGCCTCAGCCTCCTGAGTAGCTGGGATTACAGGTGCACGCCACCACACCCAGCTAATTTTTGTATTTTTAGTAGAAACGGGGTTTCACTATGTTGGCCAGGATGGTCTTGATCTCTTGACATCGTGATCCACCTGCCTCAGTCTCCTAAAGTGCTGGGATTACAGGCGTGAGCCACCGCACCCGGCCATGTGAATTTTGCATTTGTTTCTTGATAAGATACTTACCTTCTCTATACATGTATAAACATGTCTTTTTTTAAGTGCACTTCTTCCTTTTCTGTTCTGTTTGGCACTTCCATACCTTCTTTCCTTCCCTTCATTTATATATTCACATCAGCACCTATTCTATATCTGTCTATGTGTGCATACACAAACACACACATTTAAGAATTTGTTTTACAAAAATGTGATCGTATTATATGCACTTTCTCCATCTTACTTTTTTTCAGTAGTATCTCATCAAAATCCTTCTAAGGCAACTAGTATAGCTCTAATTGACTTCTTTAATGGGCTACATATGATGTGATATGGATGTACCATGATTCAATCAACCATTCAGTCCCCTACTGGCAGCCCTTTACTTCACTTCAAGATTACTGTTCACTCATTTTGTTTTTATTTAAAGCATTTAAAGACCATTTGAACAAAGTACTGACATCTGAGCTTATTTTCTCATCTATGAAATAAAAACACTATCACCTAAATAGGCTATTCAAAGGACAAAACAAGATAAAGTATATACAAATCTCTGGCACAAAAGGGTAAATAAAAACGACAGACTTTTTTTTCTTTTTTTTAATTACTATTAATAAATTACATATAGGACTAGCCATATTTGGTGGTTTTAAAGATATCGCTATAACTTATTAGTTGTGCTTCTCCTCAAAAGATAGAACTTGATTCTCTCTCGAGGACCAATGGATCTAGTGACTAGCTTCTAGCAAAGAGAATAAAGCAGATGTAATAATAATATCCCTTTTAAGATTAGATTACAAAAAACTCTGACTTCCTTCTTGAATACACTTGTGTGCATGCTCTCCCTCCCACCCCCAATTACTTGCTCTAGAGAAAGCCAGCTATTTTTCATAACACTCAGGTAGCTTATGCACAGACCCACATGATCAGGAAGTAAGGCCTGCCAACAATCACATAAGTAAATTAAGAAGCACATCTTAGGCCTACCAGTAGCCACATGAGTAACTCTGAAAACAAATACTTCCCCAGATGAGCCTTGAGATGACTGTAACCCAGCAGACAGCTGACTATACCCTTATTAGAGATCTTGATCTAGAACCATCCAGAAAAGCCAGTTGCAAGCTCCTTGCCCACAGAAACTAAGACAATACAGGTTTGTGATTATATGCCAATACGTTTTGGGTAATTTGTTACATCACAACAGTTAACTCATAGACCACATAAGGAATAGTTATAGAGAAATATTTGTTTATAATCATTCCATTTTACCTTCTTCCTTTGAATTCAGTCAGACCAGATCCATAATACAGAGGAATTCCTAAATAATCAAGTTGTTTGCGTTCTATCCACTTTTTGACTACAAAGACAAATTTATTTTTAAAAAGATTCATGTTACTTCAAAAGATATTTCTCACCTTTCTATAGACAAATTTCTTTAGCTAACCAAAAATGTAACTAGATCTTCCTAGAAAATACATTTTGTTTTCATCAAACATTTCTCATGGCCTCAAACTATTTGTTACCACTATATTCAACAAAAAAATTAGAAAATTTTAAATTAAATCAATAATAAAAATGAGTCAAGTCTTTGTATATTGATACCATATATACTAATGTTTCAATCTATAAAAAGAATTCATTACCTTATATGCTAGCTAAATTCCTAAATATAACATATGTCAACCACCAAAGCTTCAGCAGAGAGATGGCTTTTTCTTTCCTATTACTTCAAAATCTAAAACCATAATGGACAAAATAAAACAACAACAACAAAAAACACAAAAACAGAAATTGGACAGAAAAATCATCTTACTTTGAAATTATTTTATACAAAAACTGGTTCTGATTAAACTTAGTTTACAAAAAATCAAATCCACTTAAATAATCAGTTAATCATTTTTTCATGATTCTAGCCTATATGTTTTATGTTTAACACAGCTCTACTGACAAACAATCAAGTTTAACGGATTCTATTTGTCACTCTGACATAGTTTAAGTAGTCAGTAAATACAATCTTAATGTTTAGAATACTTTTTTAAGAAAAACAAAGTTAATTATTGAGGCCAGACTCATCATTCTTATTCCTAAACATGATGTAAAAGACCTTGACTATACAGTCATTACTCCTGTTTACTTCTTTAATGTTTTTCTTAGCCCATCTACATCACATTTATAAAATGCTGTTATTCTTCCTCTCTGCTTATATTCATTTCCCATTCATATCTTCTATCTGGTAATTCTTACAGTTAGTATCCAGCTCCAATTAATTTTCCAATATTCAAGTTTCTAACACCTTCCTAAACATCTTTAATTAATCATTTCCACATTTCCACACACCTTACCCCAATCCATTCTATAATCGTTCCTTTCTTATACATATATCTGCTTCCCATTTTAATGTTTTTTCCTTATAGCCTTCCTATCCAAATGGTGTACTGTAAAAGAAATAATTTCAATCTACTATCTTTTACACTTAAAGGACTCTTGGTAGCTTAGATTAACAACCTAACATTTTATGTAAAGTAGTAGAAACAACTTTGACTTAAAATATATAACCCATTATGTATGTCATGTCAAGATTTGTATACCATCTGTCTTGCTTTTATATGTTATAACAGTTAACTGTATCACTTTACAATAAAATTTCTATTGAAAAGAATTTTCCAGAAGGCCAGAAAAAGACCAAAATATCAACACTCACTTTAGCAAGAACATATATGGAAGTAGCTTGCTTTGCTAATTTTACTTACTACAGTCTTTTTTTGCAACTCTCTGATAAAATTTAAGTTCTGAAAATAACGGGCCATTTTCTTGATATTCCTATAAAAAAAGAATAATTAATTTTACTAGGAAAAAATAATACTAAAGATGGAATTGTTATTTCAACTGTGAAAATAGGAACATATATATGTAGTACATAATAGTACTTGAATAATTTTTTATACAACATAGGCACCAGATTTCCACTAAAAATCTCAGAAAACACTAAATAAACTTGAAGAATCTAATTTTTAAACAACATATTGTACAACTATCCCTATACAGTCTTACACTTTTAAAAGTAGTTTTCTTACAGAAAACACTTACTAAAAGCACTGAGAACTGTATAAACATATACAAACACTCACTGTATACCAACATATACATCTGAGTGATACACAGCAAACTATCCCCGTGGTCCACTCACATATGATACCTTTACTGAGTGGTCTACTGTATTTCATTCACTATACCAAGTACAGGGGACACAAAAAGAAATAAAACCCTATGCTTGCCTTTAAGGACCTTACCATCTAGGGTAGAGAGGGAGAGAGGGTGTTTGGGAGGGAAAGAGAAAGAATAGCTAGATAGATAACACACACGGTAATAGTTGGCAATACAGAAAAACAAAGGTTCTCTAGTCTTAATGTTTTAACAGTGTGAAAATAGATCATAACATTAAGTTTACTGATAAGGCAACAGTTACAAAATTAAGGTGAAAAACATTCTTAAATAAATAAAACAGAAAAGGGAAAAGTCAAATATACGTGAAATACAAATCTAAGAGCAACACTTACCACTTTTACTACATGTCTTGCATCTTTGTCTGGTTTAATTGTGGGGAAAGCTGCAGGAAAAAAAAAAAAAAACACAAAGGAGAAAAACAGTTATTCCCAATTTCTGAATAGCTACCAGATCCCAGACACTATGCTAAGCACTTTACATATTAAGTTTATTATATCATCCCAACAATCTTTTATGGTAGTAGGTATCCATCATCTCCATTTTATACAAGATGCTACTAAAGTTTAAGAAGTTGAATAAATAAATTGCTCACTAAGAGGTAACATATTGGAGATAGAAACTCAAATCTGCCTGACATCACAGCCCATACACTTTATCATAAACCATATTCAAATATTTAAATACAGAACCAATAGACGATATGAATCATATAGATTCAAAATGTAGGGAGAAATATTTTCTAGGTATTTCTAGATGGTATTAAATCCAATAGATAATACATAGTAAAATCCATTGATTTAATTGCACTAAATCAGAATCCATAATGATTCAAAAACAAAAATTGTTTCAATTTAAGTAGAAAGTTCAAAACAATTTATAATTGACAAAATTCTAGAATAAGCCAGTTTAAAATGAGAAAATCTTTAAAAATATCTTCTGAACCACCAATTACTTTTACATTAAAGAATACATATCTCATAAATTTATTTCAGTTAAAGAATATATATCTCATAAATTCATTTCAATTTCAAGTTACCTTCTTTTTATTCTTATTTTCCATTTGTAGTTCAGATAGTATAATTCTACTTTTGAAAAACTCGTGTTCAAATTTTAAAATAAATTAATCTTTTCCTTTATATTACCTAAATTATTAAAAGATTGCTGTTTTCAAATCTCAATAAGTGAAATTTATATGTATATTTATTTGTACTACAAAAGACTAAAATTTCGTCATCTGTTTATTTGTCCACTCTCTAACCATTCATTCATTTACTCGTTTAAATATTTATCAAGAAGCTAGAATATGCCAAGCACTGTGTTAACTGTCTAGATGATGTTTGAAGGAAAGGGAAAGAAACAAAGGTGGAACTACTATTGACTACAATTGAAAATCAGTAATAAACAGACTTGAGAACCGGATCAAATACATTTATATATATTCAATATATTTATTAAAATGCTGTGTCCTCTTATTAATGTTGTCCTTTTCTTTCTTATATCAGCTGTTTCCTTTTTATTAATTCACATCTTACATATAAAAATATGTCACATATTAAAAAAAAAACTGTACATTACAGCTGAGCCAATTAACGCACAATTTTTAGACATTCTCTAAAGTTTTTAAATCAGTAAAGCTACTAGCCAGTTGAAGAAAGTATTATTTCAATTCTACCTAATATTAGATATAAATTGTAAACCCAGACCTCTTTGCAATAACAAAGAAACTAAACTTGCTGACAGCACTTAAAATTATCTTTTCACCTTTATTCATGTAAAGTTATTTTATTTTTAGTCATGCAATAGTCCCAAGAAAGCTGCAGAAAGAGTGGATTAGCTAGATCCACTTTCTTCTAAGAAAGAAGAAAACTGAACGGTTAAAGAAAAAAATTTTAGAATAACATACAAAACACAATAAAATAAAAATACCTGAGTAAATCTATTTTTAGCCTCACATTTTTTTCACATTTTAACATCTCTGAAATCTGAATGCATCTAAAAAGTGATGACATTTTACAGCTGCTGCTGAGCACAGGGCAGTTATGACATAGTTGTTATTGCTTATGCACACAACACTCAAAACTGTCCATTTGTCTTTACTTAACTGAGTTATGTACATAGCTGATAGTATTACATGTGGAGTTTAACTTAATGATTTGGCACTGAGAAGAAAAATGCTTGTGTATATAGAAAAGTTAACTAAACAACCCACAACAGAGCAGTAGGGCATGAATTTGATACCAGTGGAAAAAAATGTTTATTAAGGTATGACTGCAACAATTGAGTATTCTGAGTTTCTTAAGTAAGACAAATTTTAAGAGTATTCTGTCATAGTTTAATGGGCAGCATTAGGTATTAGATATAAATCAGCTCCTACAGAAAATAGGAATGTTCTCTGGGCAAAAAAGAAATCACAAGGAAAATTAGAAAATATGTAGGACTGAATAGTAAAAATGTCGTACTGAAACTAGTTAGAATGCAGTTAAAATGCATATTAATTACTTGTCTTCCTCTGCTAGAATGTAAACTCCAAAAACAAAGAAATATTTTTGCTTTATTCAGATGTGTTCCAAGCACCTAGAATAGAACCTTGGGCATTAATGAATAAAAAAGTGTTAACTAGAGAAAAATTTATACCATTAAACATTTTGATTTTAAGAAAACTAAAAAATTAGTGAGCTAAGTGCTCCCCTTAATAACTTAGAAAAATAAAGACATAACCAGAAATTAATAAAAAACTGAAAAGGCCTACAACAATAATCTCTCAATAGAAAATGAGCACACCAACACCCATATTATGGTTTCTAAATATCATTTTCAATAAAATGAATCAGGGCTCATTGGAGAAATGGCTGATTCCAGAGCTGAGACAGAGAAAATAAAACTTAAGCAACCAAAGCAATAAAATTTATAATATTAGGATGGTGCAAAAGTAATCACGGGTTTTGCCACTGAAATTAATCATGTTTACTTTCGCGCCAACCTAATACTAATGAACTGTAATCCATTGGAAAAAAATCCATCATCTCTACTGATGTAAGTAAATAAATAAATGGGAGAAATAAGACAGCTCCTTCCTGTAGCTGAAATAAATTAAGAAATATAAATTAAGAAATGTAGAAGAAATGAGAAAAATAAAAAAAAATCATCATTTGGCAAACATGACAGTAATAACTGGAGCAAGCAAAAGTCATTAATAGATACTAAAATAGATAGGCAAATGGATGATTAAAAGCAACACAATGCAAATACATTTGCTTCTTCCCACAAGATATTTATTAATTGTAAATGGAAAATAAATTTATCGCAGGCTAACCTGACAGCTATCACTTTAATTATTAAAAGGGATCAAAGTTGATATCACTAATAATGATGTACAGTGAATCTTGCATCTACTGATATAGTACTGGGAGAAGCATAATATCATCTTTATGATATTCTCACTAAATAAAACATAATCTGAATTTAAAGCTAACCCAAAATGAAGAACAGTCTACAAAATACTAGCTGGTACTCTTCAAAAGTGCCAAGCTCTTTGCAAATCACCTAAGAGGTAAATACACAAAATATATAAATAACTCCTATAAATCAAATTCAACAAAAGTCCAGTTTAAAAATGAGCAAAATCAGCTCAGTGCAGTGGCTCACGCCTGTAATCCCAGTACCTTGGGGGGCTGGTGCGGTGGCTCATGCCTGTAATACCAGTACTTTGGAGGTCAAGGTGGGCTGATCATGAGGTCAAGAGATTGAGACCATCCTTGCCAACATGGAGGAACCCCATCTCTAGTAAAATACAAAACATTAGCTGGGTAGGGCAGCACGCACCTGTAGTCCCAGCTACTCGGGAGGCTGAGACACGAGACTCACTTGAACCTGGGAGGCAGATGTTGCAGTGAGCAGAGATCACACCACTGCACTGTCTAGGCAACAGAGTGAGACTCCATGGCAAAAAAACAAAACAAACAAACAGCATGTAACAATAAAGATAGCAAAACATAGATAAGAGATTTTGAAAAAGATAAACTAACATGATAAACATTATCATCAGTAAACTTAGAAGGAATGACAATTTCCTTGAAAAAAAAATTTACCAAAATAATTCAGAAAATAAAAAACCTGAATCGAAATATAATCATTAAAGGAAACAAATCAGTATTTCAAAAAAATGTAGAGTCTTCAACTTAAAATGGTTCCACAAGGTTTTTCAACTTTACAATGGTGCAAAAGCATTGTGCATTCAGTAGAAATCACACTTTGAATTTTTAATTTTGAACTTTTCTCAAGCTAGTGATATGAGGTATGATATACTTACATGAGATAGTCAACACTTTATTAGAAAATAGGCTTTCTGTTAGATAATTTTGTCCAATTGTAGGCTAATACAAGTGTTCTGCGCACATTTAAGGTAGGGTAGGGTAAACTATGATGTTTAGTAGATTAGACATATTAACCACCTTATTGACTTAACAATTTCAATCTATGATGGGCTTATCAGAACATAACCCCATTGTAAGTCAAGGAGCATCTGTACAGATAAGATGGAGTAGGAATACTCAACTCTAGCTCTCCCACTGAAAATAGCTACAAAATATAGACAAAAAAGAAGACAGTAGCTATTAGAAGGCTCTTAAAAAGTAAAGAAAGGTTTCCACTCAACATATTAAGAGCTTGGAGGTCCTTACTCCCCTCTTCTCAAAGGGGAAAAAATAAAAACAACTATCTGGAAATCGACAGCTTTTCTTTAATCCATCAGAGAACTGAGGTTACAAGGCAAATCTGTGCCTAACAACTTGAAAGGCAAGTTAATACAGAGAATCACAGCTTATAGGGGCAGAGTTTTGCCATGAGCCCTCCATATTCTTATAGTGAATATCAGAAAAATCTCCCGTTTCCAGTGGGGGAGGAGGAAACTACTTTGCCAGAACCTCATCAAGATGGGAGAGGAAAAATAACCACTCCAGCCTCCTCTAGCCTTCCTAGCTCACCTAAGTAGGGTATAGGAAGCTGAGAAATACTGGTGAAGGTTACCTCCTGGGGCATAGGCCCATTAAAAAGAAAAAGATTTACACTAACCATTAGGGAAATCCAAATCAAAACCACATGATACCATCTTGCACCAGTCAGGATGACTATTATTAAAAATTCCAAAAACAATACATGTTGGCGAAGCTGCAGAGATAAGGGAACATTTATACACTGCTGGTGGAAATGCAAATCAGTTCAGCCACTGTGGAAAACAGTCGAAAGAGCTCTCAAAGAACTTAAAGTAGAAATACCATTCAACCCAGCAATCTCATTATTGGATATATACCCAAAATATAAATTGCTCTACTAAAAAGACACATGCACATGAATGCACATTGCAGCACTATTCACAATAGCAAA